TCGGCTTGACCTTGAGATCTCTTGACAGTGTCTTTGCTTGCATGTTGGTGGGCCGCTGCCTAATTAGGCTCGGCAGTGCTGTTACGCGGGACAGTAGAAATATTTATCATGTCCGATTCGCCAGACAATCTCCGCTCATCTATCTTTATATAAACCATAATCTTCGGATCATGATATTTTCCTAGTATCGTTTTGAGTCATTTGAAATTAGTCTTTTTGTTATAAGAATTACAGTTTTGTCCTGGTTTGTCAATTTACCTCTGTGCATGCTAACTTATTTGCCCAATTACGAGATCAGAGATAAACCATGAGATTCTGTCATTTGTACAAAAAAGGTCGCTTCCTCCATTTCTCTTTCCTCACAAAAAAAATGTAAAAAAGAAAACGGAAACAGGAGAAAAAAACATTGTCTAAAATTGATGCAAGATGGCATTCAATTAATACGAAAATAATAAAATGTGTGACGGTCATTGTTGGTTGAATGAGATCATTAGCTTCTATTTTATGATACAGTATTTTTCAATGATAATAGTGTCTGACCACTGAGGCTAGGTTTAAACTAAAAATGGTTATGATGGATAAGTTGGAGTAGTTGTAAAAAAAAGTCTCCCCGAAACAATGATGTCACAATTGACATTTGTTTTTTTTTAAGCCAATTTTTTTTTATTTTTTTATTTTTTTTTCACAAAAGAGAATGTTTAAGCCTGTTTGTCTTTTGATTCTGGTCACAGTTTTTTGTTGTCTGTATTATAATAAGTGGCTGAAGTTGTCCCTATTCCAAATGAAATTTAGACATTTATTTGCAATTTGATAGAATTTAAAGTAAATTTTAAAGCTGTAACATGTGTAAATTTTTGTAATGTATGCATTGTGGCAATTCCTGAGAAGCCCTCAAGAAACCGTGAAAGTGTATTGGGCATAATTATGTACTGTTTATGATTTATTTTTTGTATTTTGCATCTTAATACTCTTTATATATATAATACACCCCTTTATCACAACCTAGTTCGTAAATCGTCTCAAAGCGGTTCACAAATTATAATCCATGGTTATAGGGCCTTTGCAACCAGTATCTTTCTCAACTCCCAGCGGTGCAGCTATTTCAGCGCTCTAAGCTAGCACTGCCCAACCACATACTCATTTACAGCTAAGTAGACTGGAACATTTAGCGGAGTAAAGTATCTTGCTCAAAGATACAACACAGTGCCGTGCCGTGACTCAAACTCGCAACCCTTTGGTCACGAGCCCGGCGCCTTACCACTAGACTACCGTGCCTCCTATGTACTCTGCCTATATTTAGCATCAGTGTACATTTCTGTACATCACATTGTATCTGATGCATCTTATATACATTAACTGGCTTACAGAAATTTCTGGTGTTGTATGGAAAATAAAACAACAGGTGAGATACAAATTATAAAAAAATGACATCTTTTTACACAGTTTTGACACAATTATGTCATATGACCTTATCAATAGCATTATGTCTTGATTAAAAATGAATAATGCATGCGTGTTGATTTAACCGTAATTCACGAGATGGGAATGTTTGATTCTTCTATACACTTCGGCTAAAGCACTAGTGTATGATTTTAGACTGTGTGAAACATTTGTGTATTAATTTACGTGATGGCACATGATAAAATATTAATACTATTGTCATACCCTCCCTGTGGCACAGTTAATGATTACTCCCCTAGCTCCCCGCAGTACAATTAATGATTACTCCCTATTCAGGGAATTAAGAATTACCATCTATCTCTTGTTTTCATCAATTATTGCATATCATATTTCATTAACGGTAAAAAATGAATGTTTAAGACCGGCATGAACAGTAAGAAATAAAAAAAGAATTAAAAAATAAAAAAGTTGTTGCATTTACTCGCAATGCCCTTATTCAGCAATAAAAGGTGCATAACTCCACCAAAAATGCACGTAAACTTCTAGGTAATAAATTTGTAATATCATGTGCTTTAATAACTACCAAGTTGATGTATACATTAACCTAAGGCACATTAGAACGGCAATGACCGAGTGGTTAAGGCGTCTTACCGCTTCGATCTCTAGATGTGCTCCACCACTGGGTCGCAGGTTAGAGGCTTGGTCACATTGGTCAGTACTCCGGCACATCCTTAACTCGTTCACCCCGGAAATTTCATAATGAACTGTTTCAACCTTTGAATTGGAAGAGGTCAAATGTGTTTCAGGGGTGAATGAGTTAAACAACTATAGCCGTAGATAGGACATTAATCACAAACAAACCTATGACACTGAAACAGGACACCTGTTCTTGACGTTCAACAACTTTCTTGATAACCAAAAGAAGATAAAAAAGGAAACTTGGTCTTGATATATATTGTTAAATATGTGTACCTGTTTTACATATCATACATATAAAATTAATTTATTTTACAACAATTATGAAATCAACTTGTATTTATCACTCTTGTTGGCCTGAATGATAGCCAACAGGGAATCTTGATGTGGGGGGGAAACCAGACTTCCTGGACAAAACCCACATGATCGGGCAGGTGACCACACCTTTTCATGTCCAATTGGGGAATCAAACCCAGTCGCTTTGGTGAGTGTGTTATCCAGTGTGTTATCCAATGTGCCACCAGACAAAGTATTGTATTTTTTTTTTATTAGGTCACCTGAGACAAAGTCTCAAGTGACCTATTGCGATCGCCTTTTGTCCGGCGTCGTTTGTCTTCCGTCGTGCGTCCGTAAACAATTTACATTTTCGACTTCTTCTCCAAAACCCCTAAACCAATTTCAATGAAATTTTGCAGAAACCTTCTATNTGGGGCTGATTGGTGTGGCCAAAAAGGGTCAAATTGACTGAAATTTCAAAAATCTTCTCCTCAAGACAAAGATATGGTAGAATCAAATACTCTTCATAGATGGAAGGGTCTTAAGGTGCTTTACCAAAATTGGGAATTTCTTGACCCTGGGGTCTCGCAGTTCCCCCTGGGGAGGGGGTAAACTTTACTATAGTTTATTTAGGGAAATCACATTTTGGACCAACATTTGTTTAATTTCCATTGGAAGTAATTCAATTAGGGCTAGCATTATCAGTATCAGGTAGCAGTTTGATAGTATGCACATATGAGCCCTGACTGACCCCCAGGGGCTGATGGGTGGGGCCAAAAAGGATTGAATTGACTGAAATTTCCAAAATCTGCATCTCAAAGACCCAGATATGGTAGAATCAAACACTCTTTATAGATGGAAGGGTCTTAAGGTTTATGACCCTAGGGTCTCACGTTTTACCCCCTGGGGAAGGAGGGGGGGGGGCAAAATTTATTATTGTTTATAATGGCAAATGATACTTTGTATATTAGATGTTAATAACATGATTGGAATTATAACCCTGAGTTGACGACAGTTTGATACTTTGAACATTTTGAGCCAGCCCTACCCCCAAGGGCTGTAGGGTGGGGCCCAAAGGAGTCGCTGTGCTATTTTTCTTCATTTTCCTTGTTTAGAATCTAGGTGCTAGTTTCAAATACTTTTTAGTCTTTAATCTGTATGCTAGATATTGAATAAGGTGGTTTTATTGTTTTTTTGTCACTTTGAATAATATTTTTGTTCATGTTAAAAACAAAATCAACTCTCTGTATAAATATATCAGGTGTCACCGTTAAGGCCCATGGGCCTCTTGTTGATTTTGGTTTTGGCGATTTTTATTTTCAAATTAGGTATCTTGCAATAATAGTCATTTAAATGTTCATCTGCTACTGTAGATGCCACACCTGCTTCATTGTCAAAGTCTGGAATGTACACGTACCTGGTACACAAGACAAACTTCATTTTGTGGACATTTATAATGATTGCTTGTGGACAATAAAAAAAGCCTTAGGGATGAACATGGTTAATTGAAGACACATCAGACATAATATCAAAGTTGAAATGAACTTTCACTGTTTTAGAATATTGTCAAGAAAAGCTAAATATGTAATGATCAGAGTAACATTACATAGCTTACAAAAACATATATCCTGAATATATAATAAATTAATTAACATTGGAAAGATAATTTCTTAAAACAAGCTTTGAATGTGTAGAGGTCAGTATCTCCATTTTAGAGAAAAGATATTGTCAATAGACCGAAGATACATTTGAATAGCCACAAGTTTCATCTAATGATAAAGCTCCGACAGGGAATGGGCCTTACAATCAGATTTATAACTGTGTGTGTCCATAGATTGTAGACAATCATAGGGAAACATCAAACTGCAGTCTAGAAATAGAACAAGTCCATTATCTAAACCGAAAAGCTTGCGAATTTTAATGAAAATGTGAGCAAAAATAAGCTTTAAAAGCGATCTTAATCTCCTATGTCGGTTGTAGATGAGCAAAATTATCCACTTATTTTTATGCACGTGGAGTCTTCAGATATCAACCCATTGTCCAATGATCAGGTGGTCTTTGTCGTCCGTTGATTCAAGTCAAACGATAATTATTCATTAATGTGAAGGATTATTAAGCAATTCAAAATGCTTTAACAGTGACCTAGCCTCCATTTGAATCAATCAGAATCTGTTAAACAAATATTTATAGATGCATATGTATAGTTGTCACATCTCATGGAGCGCTAATCAATCTCCGGCAATTCAAGTAAATTGAGGTATAGTGACGGCAGTCCATTCACCTTGCATCCCTACGTATGGCGTATAGTTAAAAGACTTTGACACATTAAGCCTCGGAATTGACAAAGAAAGAATATTCAGCTACAGTGAATGTCAACTGTAATCTTCTTTTTGAATTAATGAACTAATAAAGACTGATCAATAATCAATAGTCCTGGAGCTTAAGTCCTCCCGAAGCAGGTTTTCGTCAGCTTAGCTTTAATAGTAAAAGGTAAGCATTTCGTCTCCAAAATTTCCTTAAATTTCAAAATTTGAAATAAAATAAATGTATTCTGGGATTCAAAATCATTCGAATTCAACAAAATTGTATAAAAACGTAAAATTTCTCTGAATGATTTCGAGTTTTAGAATACGACTTGAGGTGTGGTGAAGCTAATGAAGACGAGTGCAATGGGTCGGAAGAGGCTTGTAGGGACTTAAGCGAGCGGTTCTGTTCTGTTACGGCCGACTTTCAGTGCCATAATGGAGGAATTATAACAAGACAAGGTGATTATGGAAGGAAATTTTCTTATTGTCAATTATAGAGGATGCACACAGGCTTACTAGCAGTGATTATTCTGTAGCCTACCTTTGATACCCGGTACAAAGTTCCCAAGAGATTACAATCCCCACGGCTTGTAGATTAATCACCTCAAATTTCCTGTGCATTACAAATACAAAAGACAAGTTTATTAGGGTCATCTGGTAATGTCTAACAACCTGGAGTCTAAACGAAGGCGAGTATAAGGTGAAAAAATCTGATTGCCTCGATAGCTGAAGATTGAATCTTTGTCGTATTAATCAAAGTATCGTTAGCTTGAAATCATAGACCAACATCCTTGATCATATTTTCATAAATATTGATATTTTAAAACAGAAGGTAAGTGTGCAGGTATTTCAGACAATTTTCAGAAGTCCAGAAATATCCAAAATACAATTAAATATTGAGATACTTTCAAAAAAAAAGTTGGTCAGTATTTAAAAATTTTGAGTTTTTGTCCTCAACAAAGTAAAGCTGTGTACAATAGCGATTCACAATCCAATTATAAAAGTCCTGTTAGCTTCAATATTCCAAATGTCAAATGGTCAGACTCTGTTTTTCTTCTAAAAAATCTCTGTACTGTTTTTCTTCTAAAAAATCTGTATGTACAAGTTATTTCATGCCTTTTATTCAAATGATGGCTTTGCATCCCTATCCAAATAAATTTAATTAAACGGATGGCAAAATAAACTCGAAGTCATCAGTTGCTTCTGTTTGGTGAAGCTGATGGTGGGTCCTGCAGTGCTTGCTGATCATTGGTGTTGGTTTATCAGCCGAGAGGCCGCGGCTTGTGTGAAGTTATTACATCAATCATGATATGTTGGATCCTCGTCCAGTGCTCCAGATCACAGATAGGCTATCCTCACACTAAATATCCCCAACTTGTTTGGCCAGATTAGGGAGATGAGATTCTAATTTTTTTTACTCATCTGGTAATTTGCAAGTATTGAGGTGTTTTTTCGCCCAGAAGATTAGAATTTGTTCTCGGCTTTAACGATACCTGATTCACCTGTTCATAGCTTTTCCTCGTTAGACATTCTTATCTCCCAGTTTGAATTCTAATATTCAAAAGGACTTGCCAACTATCGGAAGCATCTTTGTTAAATTGGCTAACAATGTAAATGGCTGTACACTCTGAATAGAAAGGTTTCTATCCAGATTGGTACTGCAGATGTGAATATTTAACCTAAAAATCTCATTTTTATGTTAAAACCATAGTCTATAAGACAAGGGACTTGAAAACGAATTACCTTCGTATATTATTTTGACCTCATCGGAGCTTAATGTTAATGAAACAATTCTCTAACTTTTAACTGTAACTGTCCAGTTTTAGATTTTAACCTAATCCTCACATCCTTAACCCATTGGTTCCATTTAGACTTTCATGTATTTTTAATAATAGTAAATTATTGCCTTTTGTTCATTTCAGTATTTAATTTTTTGTCCGAAGATTTTCTCCTACTTTTTTTATAGCATATCTGCTAACCACTGTTAGAATGATGCAGATCTTATCTCCATGTAGGAAAGTATATAACACTATATGGCATTCGATGGGCGTATTTTGTTCTGCTCCGCGGTATTCTTGTTGAAGTATTTTCTTGGAATTTTGGTGTCCTAGCTTCTATAGACCTGGAACCCGTCTCTAGAATATTGAATTATTGAGAAAAAAATCAAAAAAAATCTAATAATTCTGATCAGTTTGATGTCTGATTTCTAAGTTCTCAAGCTAGTGGGAGATAACCTAGTAAAATGCAGCTGGAAAATTCTTTCAAGAAAGCTGGTAGCCAGTCACGTTTCCTTCTTACTCAAGGATAATCAACACAATTCAAAAAGATCATACCATTTAATGGACTAAAATAGTGGTGACCCACTACAAATTGTAGCAAATATTGTAGGTTTTGAATTACATTATATAGTACATATTTTAAAGTCACATAGCAAGTAAAAATTAATCCGGATAAATAGGTTTTGTCTGGTGTCAATCCTCGGGGCATTTTCATGGATGATTTTTATTTTTTTTTCAGAAATATTTAAGTTCATTTACTGAAAAACTGTATTTACCTTACAAGTTTGCTATTGCAAAGATCCTAGTTCACAAAAAAATACCAGGTATGTTAAAAAAGAGCTCATTTCATTTCATTTTAGAGGAATATACTCTACCAAAACACAGTCTTGTTCTGAGAAACGAAATATATTCATGTAAGATGTCAAATTCCGAGCAAGAGAACAATTTATGATGTTTAAATTTAATTTCATGTGGAAATCTGGTAGAAATGTTACATCAAACTCCTATGAATGTAGGAATTTCTCGTTTTATAGAAACTAAGGTAGACATTTTACATCAAACCCCCATGAATGTAGGAATTTCACGTTTTATAGAAACTAAGGTAGACATTTCACATCAAACTCCCAGATACAGGTGCATGTAGTCATCAGAACAAAGTTCATCTGGTTTTAAACCAGGTAAACATTTTGTTGAGAAACCAGTAGAAATTCCACATTAAAGCTCCAGGTACGTACGTAGTCATTAGAAGTAATTTCACTAAGTAAAAAATCATGCAAACATGAATGGCCTATCTGTTCTTGTACATCCCGAACATCAAGTGAATCCACAAGGTAGTAAAATTAAGCACCCAGTACCTGAAGGCCGGTTTATGGCCCGGACCAAGATAAAGGGCTTTCTTGTTTATCCATTTAAGTTTTAACTGATAGAGTGCACTCTTGATATGATGAAAAGCAATGTTGATGGCGATACATTAAATGAAGGAGTATGATTCGGCATTGATCTGTGCTCTCATCAAGGGGCTGTCACGCCAGTGGTCCAGAGGCTGAGCGATGTGTGTCATACCTTGTCACAAGTGTCAATTAACACTAAGTGATGGCATTGCATCCACATTGGGCCTTTTTTTGTTTAATTTTTTTTATATCCATGAAAAAGAAAATAATTTGTTAATGGAGTTTTGTGTTTATTGGGGTGAAAAATTAACTCGGTACACAGTTTTGGTCGTGTGTCAGAGTGTGGCGTTTGTAGATAATTATGTATGGTGTCATCTCGACAAATTAACACTACATTCTGAGCGATTCTGTCGAGGGAAATTGATTCTGTACAGTGTTTCATATCAACAGCTGATTGCATTATTATTTCATTTGTAAAATGCAAGAATTTCAGATTTAGATAATGAAAAATGAAATATTAAAACACATTTATGCATTTCCGAATGAGGAATTTGGGTAATTTACTGAAACGCAAAGAATTTACAAACTATTAAACTCGTATTTGGATCATTGGTGTTGTCATCGCGCAGGGTTTACATGATTTCTGACCATGTTTATTTCATTTTGATTATGACAGATTTAATTTTGTAAACGGAGAATGGACCTCGCCTTGGGCCGGGAGGGAGGGGGGATGACTCTTGTGTGGAAGTGGTAGCAATGATTAAATTCTCGGGTAAAACAATTGATCATTTCCGCTGCCACGCAGATTGGTATGCCTTTGAATCAGTCTATTTGATCTATATGTTCTGTCCTTGTTCCAAGATTTGACAAAAATTATTTGTATAAACTGTCATTAAACTTGCCGAGTAATTTGATATTTAGAAAATGAATTACTTTCAATAACATTACCTTAAATAAATGTTTCTCCCTCAATTGTGGCTGTTCATCTTATCTTCGCTATAAAGATGATGTGTCTATTTTTGTAAAGTGCTTTAACAATTTTAGTGTTGTTTTGAGAAGTTATTGTACAATGATTTGGAATTTTTGGAAAACTAAATTGAACATCATAGCTCAAAAAATTATTTGATTCAATACAAAATTCAGAATTATAGTATTAAATCATGAAAGTTTATTTTAACTGTAATTTCATTTACCAAATTTTCATTTTCATGGAATTAGCAGCATGACTTTTTAAGGAATAACCAGTTATGATTTAATTTCTATATGTTTTAGGCTGTTTTGAGAGTTACAAGTCTTATCTACACAAAGTGTTGATTTTGTGATGATGACTACCATTAGGTACTCCAGTTTTCGTGAATATTTCCATCAATTATCATCTGCTGATAATTGGAAAGGGGAAAAGTTATCCTGGGTAAATTTTGTGCATTGTATGTACGTAGTGTCGAAGTCGCTTTACTAGCTTCAGGTAACATGGTGTCGAAGTCGCTTTACTAGCATCAGGTAACAAAGTTTTGAAGTCACTTTACTTGCATCAGGTAACATAGTGTCGAAGTTGATTTACTAGTAACAGGTAACAAAGTGTTGAAGTCGCTTTACTAGCATCAGGTAACATAGTGTTGAAGTCGCTTTACTAGCATCAGGTAACAAAATGGTGAAGTCGCTTTACTAGCATCAGGTAACATAGAGTCAAAGCCAATTTACTAGCATCAGGTAACATGGTGTCGAAGTCGCTTTATTAGTATTGGGTAACATGGTGTCGAAGTCGCTTTACTAACATCAGGTAACAAAGTGTTGAAGTCGCTTTACTAGCATCAGGTAACATAGTGTCGTAGTTGATCTACTAGCATCAGGTAACATAGTGTCGAAGTTGATTTACTAGTATCAGGTAACAAAGTTTTGAAGTCGCTTTACTAGCATCAGGTAACAAAGTGTTGAAGTCGCTTTACTAACATCAGGTAACAAAGTGTTGAAGTCGCTTTACTAGCATGAGGTAACATGGTGTCAAAGTCACTTTACTACCATCAGGTAACAAAGTGTTGAAGTCGCTTTACTAACATCAGGTAACATAGTGTCAAAGTCACTTTACTACCATCAGGTAACAAAGTGTTGAAGTCGCTTTACTAGCATCAGGTAACATAGTGTCAAAGTCACTTTACTACCATCAGGTAACAAAGTGTTGAAGTCGCTTTACTAGCATCAGGTAACAAAGTGTTGAAGTCGCTTTACTGACATCAGGTAACATAGTGTTGAAGTCGCTTTACTAGTATCAGGTAACAAAATTGTGAAGTCGCTTTACTAGCATCAGGTAACATAGTGTCGAAGTTGATTTACTAGTATCAGGTAACAAAGTGTTGAAGTGGCTTTACTGACATCAGGTAACATAGTGTTGAAGTCGCTTTACTAGCATCAGGTAACATAGTGTTGAAGTCGCTTTACTAGTATCAGGTAACAAAATTGTGAAGTCGCTTTACTAGCATCAGGTAACATAGTGTCGAAGTTGATTTACTAGTATCAGGTAACAAAGTGTTGAAGTCGCTTTACTAACATCAGGTAACATAATGTCAAAGTCGCTTTACTAACATCAGGTAACATAGTGTCGAAGTCGATTTACTAGCATCAGGTAACATATTGTCAAAGTTGATTTACTAGCATCAGGTAACATAGTGTTGAAGTCGCTTTACTAGTATCAGGTAACAAAATGGTGAAGTCGCTTTACTAGCATCAGGTAACATAGTGTTGAAGTCGCTTTACTAGCATCAGGTAACAAAGTGTTGAAGTTGATTTACTAGCATCAGGTAGCATAGTGTTGAAGTCGCTTTACTAGTATCAGGTAACAAAATGGTGAAGTCGCTTTACTAGCATCAGGTAACATAGTGTTGAAGTCGCTTTACTAGCATCAGGTAACAAAGCGTTGAAGTCGCTTTACTAGCATCAGGTATCATAGTGTCAAAGTTGATTTACTAGCATCATGTAACAAAGTGTTGAAGTCGATTTACTAACATCAGGTAACATAATGTCTAAGTCGCTTTACTAACATCAGGTATCATAATGTCTAAGTCGCTTTACTAACATCAGGTATCATAGTGTGAAAGTCGCTATACTAACCTTAGGTAACATAGTGTCAAAGTCGATTTACTAGCATCAGGGAACAAAGTGTTGAAGTCGCTTTACTAACATCGGGTAACAAAGTGTTGAAGCCGCTTTACTAGCATCAGGTAATATAGTGTTGAAGTCGCTTTACGTGAAAGTCGCTCTACTAACATCCTGTAACATAGTGTAAAAGTCGCTTTACTAGCATCAAGTAACATAATGTCAAAGTCGATTCACTAGCATCAGGTAACAAAGTGTCAAAGTTTATTTACTAGCATCAGGTAACATATTGTCAAAGTTGATTTACTAGCATCATGTAACAAAGTGTTGGAGTCGATTTACTAACATCAGGTTACATAGTGTCAAAGTCGATTTACTCGCATCAGGTAACATGGTGTCGAAGTCACTTTACTAGCATCAGGTAACAAAGTGTCAAAGTTTATTTACTAGCATCAGGTAACATGGTGGGAAAGTCGCTCTACTAACATCCTGTAACATAGTGTAAAAGTCGCTTTACTAACATCAAGTAACATAGTGTGAAAGTCGCTTTTCTAGCATCAGGTAACATAGTGTTGAAGTCGCTTTAATAGCATCAGGTAACATAGTGTGAAAGCCGCTTTACTTGCATCAGGTAACAAAGTGTTGAAGCCGCTTTACTAGCATCAGGTAATATAGTGTTGAAGTCGCTTTACTGAAATCAGGTAACATAGTGTGAAAGCCGCTTTACTTGCATCAGGTAACATAATGTCAAAGACGATTTACTAGCATCAGGTAACAAAGTGTCAAAGTTGATTTACTAGCATCAGGTAGCATAGTGTTGAAGTCGCTTTAATAGCATCAGGTAACATAGTGTGAAAGCCGCTTTACTTGCATCAGGTAACATAATGTCAAAGTCGCTTTACTAACATAAGGTAACATAGTGTGAAAGTCTCTTTACTAGCATCAGGTAACATGGTGTGAAAGTCGCTTTACTAGAATCAGGGAACATAATGTCAAAGTCGATTCACTAGCATCAGGTAACAAAGTGTTGAAGCCGCTTTACTAGCATCAGGTAATATAGTGTTGAAGTCGCTTTACTAGCATGAGGTAACATAATGTGAAAGTCGCTTTACTAGCATCACGTAACGTAATGTCAAAGTCGATTTACTATCATCAGGTAACAAAGTGTGAAAGTCGCTTTACTAACATCCTGTAACATAGTGTAAAAGTCGCTTTACTAGCATCAAGTAACATAGTGTGAAAGTCGCTTTATTAGCATCAGGTAACATAATGTCAAAGACGATTTACTAGCATCAGGTAACATAATGTCAAAGTCGCTTTACTGACATCAGGTAACATAGTGTCGAAGTTGATTTACTAGCATCAGGTAGCATAGTGTTGAAGTCGCTTTAATAGCATCAGGTAACATAGTGTGAAAGTCACTTTACTAGCATCAGGTAACAAAGTGTGAAAGTCGCTTTACTAACATCAGGCAACAAAGTGTTGAAGTCGCTTTACTAGCATTAGGTAACATAGTGTCAAAGTCGTTTTACTAGCATCAGGTAACATATTGTCAAAGTTGATTTACTAGCATCATGTAACAAAGTGTTGAAGTCGATTTACTAATATCAGGTAACATAATGTCAAAGTTGATTTACTAGCATCAGGTAGCATAGTGTTGAAGTCGCTTTACGTGAAAGTCGCTCTACTAACATCCTGTAACATAGTGTAAAAGTCGCTTTACTAGCATCAGGTAACATAGTGTGAAAGTGGCTTTACTAGCATCAGGTAACATAGTGTGAAAGTCGCTCTACTAACATCCTGTAACATAGTGTAAAAGTCGCTTTACTAACATCAGGTAACAAAGTGTTGAAGTCGCTTTACTAGCATCAGGTACATAGTGTTGAAGTCGCTTTACTAACATCGGGTAACAAAGTGTTGAAGTCGCTTTACTAACATCAGGTAACAAAGTGTTGAAGTCGCTTTACTAGCATCAGGTACATAGTGTTGAAGTCGCTTTACTAACATCGGGTAACAAAGTGTTGAAGTCGCTTTACTAGCATCAGGTACATAGTGTTGAAGTCGCTTTACTAACATCGGGTAACAAAGTGTTGAAGTCGCTTTACTAACATCAGGTATCATAGTGTCAAAGTTGATTTACTAGCATCAGGTAACAAAGTGTTGAAGTCGCTTTACTAGCATCAGGTAACATAGTGTGAAAGTCGCTTTACTAGCATCAGGTAACATAGTGTGAATGTCGCTTTACTAGCATCAGGTAACATAATGTGAAAGTCGCTTTACTAGCATCAGGTAACATAGTGTGAAAGTCGCTTTACTAACATCAGGTAACATATTGTTGAAGTCGCTTTACTAGCATCAGGTAACATAGTGTCAAAGTCGATTTACTAACATCAGGTAACATAGAGTCGAAGTCGCTTTACTAGCATCAGGTAGAGGAAATTTTCCCCAAGATCAGTGGTATAGGGTTAAGCTGGAGAATTGGGAGTTGCAGGTTTGATCCCTAGCGAACATGCATATTTTCACTTCTACCAAATTGCAAAATTTTGTAGTCTTGCTGACTTTTTGAACACATTTGTAGGTAGCAATTTTGTTATGTAGGATTGGAGGTAGGTCTGAAACATTTTAAGGAGCTAGCCTATCTCTTTTTTCACTGTGGTAGAAACTTTACGAATTGCATGACTCAACATGTGTTTGTCATATACTCGGTACCTCAAGTTTTCCTTTGGACAACTTCTCTATAATGGTTATTCAAACTTTGACCTGTCTTAGTTAAATTATCACGATCGTAATTGTCTTAAACTCCACTCTACAAACATGTTCTAGCATATGATATATGTATTTATTGTAAAAAAGCGAACTTGGTTGATCAGCAGTATGTGTAGAACCAAAACGTTGACTGTTTGGATGTTCATTCTGTAGAGTCCTTGGTTCAGATTCTGGTTTGGCTCATTGCTTTTACTTTCCTTTTACACAAGATCTGCTTTACTTTTCAGAAGACCATCTGGTTCTTGCCATGGGAAGAGGAGGAGTTAATCAATGAAAATCCTGAAGCTGTAAGGAGAAAAGAATTTCATGTAACCATTCCATCTCGTAGTGAAAAAGTATCTTAAAATTGGAACTGAACAATAACAAGGACATTTCTTCTTGGGAATTTACAAGAAAAATGTTGATTAGTTTTTAGAAGCTGTTCAGAAAATTAAGTGTGTTTACAAGGTTGGAACTGATTGTTTTTTTTTCACTTTTAAAATTTTATTGTCGTATCTATAGTGAAATGTTGAACAAATAAAAATTTAAAATCAACATATCGGTCACTGTTTTTATTTCAGAGTAGCACGGTGGATTTTATTGTTTGTCTAAATTCACCAACGAAACAGTAAAACTGTGTACACTACAAGCATTCTCACTCACAACAAAATTATATTTGTCCCATGGCAAGAAAATGTCTCCTGAACATCAAACCCCATCGTTTCAAGAACATGTATACTAAAACTATTGCAAGTGGTTTGTAGAAAACATATTTTTTTTGTCCCATGATATACTTCACTACCGTATATGACCTGATTCCCCATTCCTCTAGCACCGATCCTTTATCTGGTCCAACTACTCCCTGCCTTAGTGACAACCTGGCTATGGCTTCAGTTAACCCTGTCTCGATGACAACATGTTTTCGCCTCCAATAAAGTGCCTATTATGACCTCTTTTGGGGGGGAATTTCGGAAGATTCTGCAAACGGCCTAATTTTACTAAATTGCCAAGTACACAGGGTGATTATTAAGTTGAAAATGGTAGAGTTCATGCTGGTCTTGATCCTGTCGGATTATGCTACAAAGATAGCAACACAGTCACCCTTATGTCTGAGGCAATCTAAAATTTATACCTGTTCCGCTTTCACATATATCTATTGTAAAACTTAAGTAATGAGCTGATGAAGTAGGTGTTGATTTGTCTTTAGTTGCCATGCTGAACACATTACAAAATAGTGTTTTACAAGGCTTGATTTGATTGGTCAAACTGTAAAACAGTCAATTTTTATCATCGGATCGTCAAAGTTTGGTTCAAGTTTAGCCAGGCCCCGGTTTCATGAACGTTTCTTATATTAAGGAATCACAATTTTGCCTTTTTCCATGGCATTTTAAGCGTTACTGGAATTAAGGAAAAAATCTTAAGTGAAGGAATTTCCCTTTACTTTGTTGATGTTTACCCATAAGATATTTTAAGTCGAGGGACATTCGTGAAACCGGTGCCAGAACATGACTGGAAGGCAGCCTCACTAGATCTCAAACAGTAATGTAAAGAATTCAAGAAGATGTAAATAAGTTCAATTAGATTGAAAAATATTGATTTTAGCAAAAGATTATTTTATTTGAAAGAGAAGTCAGATTGTGAGATTATAATAGACATTTTTGATGGGGAAAACATAAACCTATTTTTTGACAATTACAGTTTTTTCTCTTGCAAACAGTTTTTTTGGCAATTACTTAATAATGCATTTCAAAAATAATTTCACATGCCATAGTTCATTTTACTATACTCAACTAGTCATTCCAGCAAAAACCACCCGACACTTTATGCGATAATTCATATAACAAGTTTGAACATTTTCTCTGTCCACAGCAACTAGGAAACACTCGTTGAAATGTCTTTTCTTTCTTGCATTAGCAGACTGTACTTGTTTGATCCCATTCGAAAGCTGACTATTTGTGTAAAAAGCACTGTGAGGAAATGTCTATTTCAAATTCTGAAATGCATGAGTTTCAAGAAAAAAAATAATTGAAATAGACATGCGAATGGAGATAATTATTTATAGACAAGAATTCTGAAACACTTTCACTGAACCGAAGGGGTGTGTCACAAATCGGAAACCCCATAATCCATGAATGTGAATATATATTATACTATTGTCCATGGAACTTGAGAATATATCTAATTCATAATGTCACTTTAAGGATGGGAATTATTGTTAAATCAACACATGGATACACTTTCTCTGAAATAAATCTAACCCATAGTGTCCTCGAAAGGAAATATTTCCCCCCGCCCCCCCCAAGAGATTTTCGCTTCAAAAATTGTTAGGCAATTAATAGATCACATTTAAAAGGTACCAAAGTATACATGTAAGGATTATTACAGAATTTAATTCAATAGAGAAAAAGATCAGAGGTTTTATGAAAAGGAGATAGATATATGGTGTTATTAATTTAGATACACGGTGTTCTAAATTCAGATATATGATGTTATAAATTCACAGATATATGGTGTTATAACTTCACAGATATATGGTGTTCTAAATTCAGATATATGGTGTTATAACTTCACAGATAAGGTGTCATAAATTCACAGATATATGGTGTTATTAATTCATAGATATATGGTGTTATTAATTCAGATATATGGTGTTCTAACTTCACAGATATATGGTGTTATAACTTCACAGATATATGGTGTTATAAATTCACAGATAAACAGTGTTCTAAATTCAGATATATGGTGTTCTAAATTCACAGATATATGATGTTCATTTATATTTCACAGATATACGGTGTTCTAACTTCACAGATATATGGTGTTCTAACTTCACAGATATATGGTGTTATTAATTCATAGATAAATGGTGTTCTAACTTCACAGATATACGGTGTTATTAATTCACAGATATACGGTGTTCTAACTTCACAGATATACGGTGTTCTAACTTCACAGATATACAGTGTTCTAACTTCACAGATATACAGTGTTCTAACTTCACAGATATACAGTGTTATTAATTCACAGATATACGGTATTCTAACTTCACAAATATACGGTGTTCTAACTTCACAGATATACAGTGTTATTAATTCACAGATATACAGTGTTCTTACTTCACAGATATACGGTATTCTAACTTCACAGATATACGGTGTTCTAACTTCACAGATATATGGTGTTATTATTTCACAGTATGGTTGCATATTATATTCTTAAGGATCCCCATACCACTACTAGGGGTTCTTTAAGGTGGCCTGATCACCTGACTGAACACATCATCATAAGACTAGCTGTTACAAGGATGCAAACTAGAACAAACCAGCAAACACATCATTTCAAACAATATTGGCATTCTTAGTCATTGGTTACGAAATGTTCGCTAGATTTTCTTTGTTTTTTATGTTTGAGCAAGGTTACACAGACGGCGCTGACAGACACGTCTGTCTGAATATCTCCTACTTATACTGACTGTAGGCCTAAATATTTGCAATTTTATAATTCATTAACTTGACAGCTGGGTGAGTCAGAAATGTTACCGAGGCAATCATCTTCTTACGCCTCTTTTATCTTCATAGCTGTAAAAATATGTTTGCAAAACCCCATGCACAAGCATCTATACTTTCTGTCATGTATATATATCTACGCAGTATATTATTCATCAACTTTCCACCTCGTATAGAATCAGTTTTGCAAAAAATAATTTTCCCTGTATGGTTTTACATATATATAGAAATAAGCTGTATAGCCCTGACAGAAATATGGTTTATTTTGCACCTTGTTTGGTGTATAGGGTATTTCTAGGTTCCTTTCCGTAGTGATGGAACTTTAGAATCAATACTTTATCAGCTACATGTGAATTGCGCATTTCATTTACTTCAACTCCGTAGAATAAGGTGCAAAAAACGGGGAAAATTATCTCAAGGGATCAACAAAGAATCTAGGGCAATTAGGTGTCTGCCCCCCATATATTGGACGATCACAGCTGTTCCTTTTTATTCTAATTCATCCTAAGAGGTTCTGCTGTTCAAGTGCAAAAACTATTGAACAAGCTTTTTTGGGCCAAACTAATTTCCGGTTGTCTGCCTATAAAAAATGGAATAGGTTTTATATTTTGAACTACGACTCCACAGTATTGTTATAATTGGCAAGTCCAATATCTTTAGGCTGTGGTCCAGGTCAGTAATGAGTATACATGTAATAAATGTACGGTTATTATACCCCATGTGATGACGCCAAGTTCGAGGGATTCGGTTACACTGGAATCAGGTTGTCTCTGTCCATCCATATGTTTGAGGAAATAGAATCAATGAATCTTCCTGCACTACCTGTATGTTAGGACTTGATGTACCTGCTCTCAAATATATAAGTTGCCTTCTCACAAGGAGACAAATACGAACATATCGCAGCCTCCCAAAACACACACGCATGCATCTTGCACACAAGGGAGGCCGTCCTTAAATGACCATAGCTGTTGATAGGACGTTAAACAATACTAAACCAAACCAATAGCCTCCACTTAAAAAGAGTTATATTCCTCTTCTTCCCCATGGAAAAACACAACTTTTTAGCCATGTCTTAGTGATTTAAGGGCATGCACTTAAAAAGGAAAGGTGCTAGGTTTTGCATAGATCGTGTTAAATTTTTAGCTCGCCTGCTATTCCGAAGGGCCATGGTCCGGCATCCGTCCAGCGTCAACTTTTTACTTTAAACAACTTCTTCTCCGTAACCAAAAGGCCTAGGGGGATGATATTTGGCCAGTAGCATGCTGGGATGAAGGGCTACCAAATTTGTTCAAATGAATAACCTTCACCCGTTTTCAAGGTCACAGGGGGCAAATATGTTAAAACCTTTAAACAACTTCTTCTGAGTAACCAAAAGGCCTAGGGCGATGATATTTGGCCAGTAACATGCTGGGATGAAGGGCTTCTTAGTTTGTTCTATGAATGACCTTGAATTATATTCAAAGTCACAGGGGTGAAACATATTGAAATCTTTAAACAACTTCTGAATAATCTAAAGGTCCAGGGTGATGATATTTGGTCAGTAATATGCTGGGATGAAGGGTGACCAAGTTTGTTCAAATGAATGACCTTCACCCATTTGCAAGGTCACGGGGGTCAAATATGTTGAAATCTTTAAACAATTTAACTTGAATAATATGAATAATTTAAAGGTCCAGGGTAATAACATTTGGCCAGAAGCATGCTAGTATAACAAGCTTTAGGGTCTGTTTTACTTTCAAGGTCACATGTTTAAATCTTCTTTTGAATCAGACACTGATATTTCGCATGTAGCTGTATTTTAGTCCACTTTTAAGATTAAAATTGTAAGATTAATACTAGGTGAGCGATGCAGGACCATTAGGCCTCTTGGTAAGCTTGGTCAAGAGCCATGGATAAGATATCCTAAAATTTCAACAATTTCATCTAAATAAGCAAAAGGTCTAGAGATATGATAATTGGTCCATATAGCATGCTTGAGTGAAAGGGCTTTCAAATTTGATCAAATTACCATGCCAAATTTAGAAGGGTTT